CTTTCGGTAAAGTCACGTTGAAGGGAAACAATAAAGTAATAAAATATATATATATAAAACGATAAAAATTCTCACGACGTTTCGACCATAACACAAACGGTCGTCATCAGGTGTGTCGGTTTGCATTAATTTATTTATTTCTAAACGGTGTATTTATTTATTTCTTTATAAAAACGTCAGCACCACGGGCAGCGATTTGGCAGTTTATTTAGAAGGACGAGTCCATCTATGTTCTGAAACAGAGGAGGGGGGAGACGAAAAATTTAATGTATGCTGTCTGAAAGCCACCGTAAGCGTGAACAATCAATTAAGACCTGAAATGGTTTATCAAATCCTTCCAATGATTGCTAAGCCAGAATCCATCTTCTCGGTTGGAATTGTCTCTGTGCTTGTTATATGTGGATAGCCTCATGAATCAAAATTTTAAGGAATTAGCATAAAGTGACCGTACAGCACAAGAGGACCGGCACGGAGGGGGGGGGGGAAGGGGGAGTTTACAAATGTAAGTGTGAAGTGAAATAAGCTTCGATGAAAGTTTGGTATGTCACCATATATGTTTTATTTTTTTACCCACGTGACTTTACCGAATAGAACCAAAGAGTATGGATCCTTGCAGTCACGAAAGCTTCAAATCTAGAACAAATACATCCGTGTATTTTTGTCAATCCCCCCCCCCTGTACGAGAATACGCTGTCCATACGAGGTCAAACCGTTCTGCGTTGACGCGGCATGTAAAAACATCTTTAGTAACCGACGGTACATCTGGATAAAGCGGGCGCTCTTCGCTGGGAGGTGACTGAATGGATCCCGATTCCAGAGGAGTCTCGGGCCTTGGACATTGCAGGTTGGGGCAATGAGCCCTGGGCTTACAGGTCCTCTCTCCATTGTTTGCACCGTAGAAGAAAGGAAGTGAAAAGTATGATGATTGGTTTTTTTTACCCTTTGATCTGCCAACAAAACTGACGCCTTTTTATAGAAGGAGTCGTGTTTACATTGACAACAATACCTGCGGTCGGAACGCAAACACAAAACAACAACAACTCTGATAACGTATGTGGCACTGTCCTTGAAGTTGATTGGTCCACACCCTTTTGACAGCTTTCCTTAGAGCCTCGTCTCACGTGGGTGTTGGACCAGAAGACGCCAAAAGGCGTCACACAACTCAAAGGGCAATGCCCCATCAGAGTATGGGGGCTCGGGGTGAGCATTTACACAACATTGGAAACCTCATTTGCCAGTAACAAAATATGATAAAAAAATGTTACCCTTTGATCTGGCAACAAAACTGACGCCTTTTTATACAAGGAGTCGTGTTTACATTGACAACAATACCTGCGGTCGGAACGCAAACACAAAACAACAACTCTGATAATGTATGTGGCACTGTCCTTGAAGTTGATTGGTCCGCACCCTTTTGACAGCTTTCCTTAGAGCCTCGTCTCACGTGGGTGTTGGACCAGAAGACGCCAAAAGGCGTCACACAACTCAACGGGCAATGCCCCATCAGAGTATGGGAGCTCGGGGTGAGCATTTACACAACATTGGAAACCTCATTTGCCAGTAACAAAATATGATAAAAAAATTTACCCTTTGATCTGGAAACAAAACTGACGCCTTTTTATACAAGGAGTCGTGTTTACATTGACCACAATACCTGCGTCTTCTGGTCCAACACCCACGTGAGACGAGGCTCTAAAGAAAGCTGTCAAAAGGGTGTGGAACAATCAATTTCAAGGACAGTGCCACGTACATTATCAGAGTTGTTGATGTTTTTTGTTTGCGTTCCGACCGCAGGTATTGTGGTCAATGTAAACATGATTCCCTGTAAAAAAAGGTCTCAGTTTTGTTGCCAGATAAAAGGGTAAAAAGACCAATTATCATATTTTGTTACTGGCAAATGAGGTTTCCAATGGTGTAAAGTGAAAAGCATTTTGAAATCAAGCGTTGTAACCGGGTCAGCAAGAGTTATGGACCCATTCTGTCGGCACGGTCGGCAAACATTGGGTCGAAGTTTGAATTCGCCTACTTGAGATTGCACAAAAAAAAGTAAATTAGCGAATGCCCATCGCGTTCGTCTGCCTCGTTCGAATGTAAACCGAATAGTTTGTCCGCTGTAAGCGTTACAGGCAGGCAGACACACGCAGACAGAGAGACAGACGAAAAAAATGTTGGAAATTCATTAGATTGCAGATCCACACAACGTGGTAATTAAAGCAAATGACTCCACATGCACGATACAATTTCACACATTTCTGAATCACGTAATCAAGTTACCCTCTGGGACATTGCCACGTGACCCCCTGGGATACTGCCACGTGACCCCCCGGGACACTGCCACGTGACCCCCCGGGACACTGCCACGTGACCCCCTGGGACATTGCCACGTGACCCCCTGGGACATTGCCACGTGAACCCCCGGGACACTGCCACGTGATCCCCCGGGACACTGCCACGTGACCCCCCGGGACACTGCCACGTGACCCCCTGGGACACTGCCACGTGACCCCCCGGGACACTGCCACGTGACCCCCTGGGACACTGCCACGTGACCCCCTGGGACACTGTGACCCCCTGGGACACTGCCACGTGACCCCCTGGGACACTGCCACGTGACCCCCTGGGACACTGTGACCCTCTGGGACACTGCCACGTGACCCCCTGGGAGACTGCCACGTGACCCCCCGGGACACTGCCACGTGACCCCCCGGGACACTGCCACGTGACCCCCTGGGACACTGCCACGTGACCCCCCGGGACACTGCCACGTGACCCCCCGGGACACTGCCACGTGACCCCCAGGAGTCAGCAACGTATTCCCCCTTGTTGAGAACACGAGTGGCGATGGGGGTGAACATGTTCAACTAACGTGGAACTAATTCGTAGCAGCTTCCGTCTAAACTATATTTACCACCACTACCATCATCATCATCATCATCAAACAAAGATCCCCCGTATAGCCCCAATAGGACGTACGGTGCGAAAGAAGTTCAGCATACATCATCACCACGACTAGCACCACCATCAGCACCCGCCACTAGCAAAGACAAAGGTCCCCCGTTGAGCCTGAACAGACTGTTGGGGCAAGTGCTGTTAGCGAGCATCTATGAAGGCCGGCCCGGCACACGAGGGGGTTTTTGTGGGCAACACCACGCCCGGCCGCCTTTGTCTCCCTAGTGGCGATGGAGCACCACCATCACCACCCACAACTACCACAACCATCAACACTATTAGCACCATCATCACCACCCACAACCACCACAACCATCAACACTATTAGCACCACCATCACCACCCACAACTACCACAACCATCAACACTATTAGCACCATCATCACCACCCACAACCACCACAACCATCAACACTATTAGCACCACCATCACCACCCACAACTACCACAACCATTGCCAACAACCGCCATTCGCCACTAAGCAGTGGTGACGTCACCACGGCGCTTGTGCCAGGCCATGTGCACGCTGAGGCCACGTGAAGTGTCCAACGCCCGCTGGCAGGAGGTCACGGGGCAGACCCAGCAGGTGCCACGGGTCGACTGACTCAGATGACTGAGATGACTGGCTGATGCACCACCTGTGCCCCCTACTGTGCCAACCTGCTGTGCTTTAGTCACCCGGCGCTCCGCTCGTTGTTCTGAGCGTCACTCCTCCACCCTCCGTTGTTGTTGGAGGGCGACTGCCTCCAACTGCCCAGTAGCATCCTTCACGAGCCTCCTCCACAGAGGCCGATCTTGACACCGCTGGTACCGGTCATCGGCAAATCCACTCAGCTCCACGTCCTCCTGTACCACGTCACTCCATCTCTTCTCTAGCCCGTGCCGCGCCCATTTAACCCCCTCGATCCGGCCAAACAAAAGCTGTTTCGGCATGCGGTGGCTGGGCATGCGGGCTAAATGATCCAGCCATCGCAGCCTTGCCCGCCGGAGGAGATCACCGATAGGACCTTGCCCAGATCTTTCAAGGATTTGTGAGCTCCTCACACAATCCCGTTTGGTTAAACCTAGGATGGATCGTAGGCAGGCCAGCCTAAATGTTTCAAACTGGCGAAGATGTTCCATTAGGGGGGTCCACGTTTCGCAAGCGCAGAGAAGGGAGGGAATGACCGTGGCCGAGTAGACCTGTAGCTTAGTGCGGAGCGACAGACCAGGTAGCTTCCACACAGCGTTACGTAACCGATGAAAAGATATTGCCGCTCGACTGATTCGGATTGAGACCTCTGCTGTTAAACTGGAGCCGGTCATAAGCACACTGCCCAGGTATGGGCAACTCTCCACTCTCTCCACAACTGCCCCATCACTGATTGGGAGTTGTGGGGGTGGAGTGTCCGATGGTACAAAATACCCAGGCAGGTGCTTAGTTTTGGTGGGGCTGATGGTAAGGCCCCACCTCTTAGTGGCACGCTCCAGTCTCAGCAGCAGCGTCTCAAACTCCTCCTCCGAGTCAGCAGCAATTACCAGATCATCGGCAAAACGTAACGCGGTTGAGCAATAGGGAGCCAACCCTTGACCGCACCCGGGCATCGATCAGCCTCCCATTGTATCTGTACCAGATGGAGATTCCTCCGGTACAGCTATTGAAGTCTTCACGAACTACGCGGTCGAAATACCCCACCACCACCACTATCACCGCCACTCCTAACACCACCCACAACCACTACCACCACCACTACCACCAACAACACCACCCACCACCACCACCACCACCCACTACCACCAACAACACCACCACCACCACCACTACCACCACCACCACCACTACCACCACTACCACCCACCACCACCACCACCACTACCACCACTACCACCACCACCACCCACCACCACCACCCACCACCACCACCACTACCACCACTACCACCACCACTACCACCACCACCACCCACCACCACTACCACCACTACCACCACCACTACCACCACCACTACCACCACCCACTACCACCACCACCACCACTACCACCACCACCACCACCACCACCCACCACCACCACCACTACCACCACTACCACCACCACCACGGCACGTCACTGCTCCTGTCTCTTGGTGCGGTCACGATACCAGGTGAAGGTTGCCAGCGTGCCCACCACCACCACCACCAACAACACCACCACCACCACTACCACCCACCACCACCACCACCACCGCTACCACCGTGGTGCCTGCAGCCAAAATGCCTCGCCTCACCTGGTAGGTGGGGGGGAGGGGGGAGGGGGGAGGGGGAGGAGGGGGAGGGGGAGGAGGGGGAGGGGGAGGGGGAGGAGGGGGAGGGGGAGGAGGGGGAGGGAGAGGGGGAGGGAGAGGGGGAGGGAGAGGGGGAGGAGGGGGAGGAGGGGGAGGAGGGGGAGGAGGGGGAGGATGAGGTCTGTCTCCATCTCCATCTCCATCTCTGTCTCTGTCTGTCTCTATCTCTGTCTCTGTCTGTCTCCATCTCTGTCTCTGTCTGTCTCCATCTCTGTCTCTGTCTGTCTCTGTCTGTCTCCATCTCTGTCTCTGTCTGTCTCCATCTCTGTCTCTGTCTGTCTCCATCTCTGTCTCTGTCTGTCTCCATCTCTGTCTCTGTCTGTCTCCACCTCCGTCTCTGTCTGTCTCCATCTCCGTCTCTGTCTGTCTCCATCTCTGTCTCTGTCTGTCTCCATCTCCGTCTCTGTCTGTCTCCATCTCTGTCTCTGTCTGTCTCCACCTCCGTCTCTGTCTGTCTCCATCTCTGTCTCTGTCTGTCTCCATCTCCGTCTCTGTCTGTCTCCATCTCTGTCTCTGTCTGTCTCCATCTCTGTCTCTGTCTGTCTCCATCTCTGTCTGTCTCCATCTCCGTCTCTGTCTGTCTCCATCTCCGTCTCTGTCTGTCTCCATCTCCGTCTCTGTCTGTCTCCATCTCTGTCTCTGTCTGTCTCCATCTCTGTCTCTGTCTGTCTCCATCTCTGTCTCTGTCTGTCTCCATCTCTGTCTCTGTCTGTCTCCATCTCTGTCTCTGTCTGTCTCCATCTCTGTCTGTCTCCATCTCTGTCTCTGTCTGTCTCCATCTCTGTCTCTGTCTGTCTCCATCGCTGTCTCTGTCTGTCTCCATCTCTGTCTCTGTCTGTCTCCATCTCCGTCTCTGTCTGTCTCCATCTCCATCTCTGTCTGTCTCCATCTCCGTCTCTGTCTGTCTCCATCTCTGTCTCTGTCTGTCTCCATCTCTGTCTCTGTCTGTCTCCATCTCTGTCTCTGTCTGTCTCCATCTCTGTCTGTCTCCATCTCCGTCTCTGTCTGTCTCCATCTCTGTCTCTGTCTGTCTCCATCTCTGTCCGTCTCCACCTCCGTCTCTGTCTGTCTCCATCTCCGTCCCCGTCTCTGTCCCCGTCCCCGTCTCTGTCCCCACCTGCGTCCCCGTCCCCATCCCCGTCCCCGTCCCCGTCTCTGTCCCCACCTGTGTCTCTGTCCCCACCTGTGTCTCTGTCCCCACCTGTGTCTCTGTCCCCACCTGTGTCTCTGTCCCCACCTGTGTCTCTGTCCCCACCTGTGTCTCTGTCCCCACCTGTGTCTCTGTCCCCACCTGTGTCTCTGTCCCCACCTGTGTCTCTGTCCCCACCTGTGTCTCTGTCCCCACCTGTGTCCCCGTCCCCGTCCCCGTCCCCCCGCCCCCACCTGTGTCCCCCCGTGCCTCCCCGAGGCGCAGCGACGTCACGAGGTGCTCGCAGTTCCCGCCCAGCAGCTCGTAGTGGAGCGTCCCGCCCACGAGGCCCCTGGCCCTCCGCAGGGTCTCGGCGGCCATGGGCAGCGGCCTACGGCAGCCCTTGTTGCCGGCCCGCGCTCCGGCCCACCACCTCCTTCAGCGGCTCCAGCCTCACCGTCGCCTTGCTCGTCGCCACCGACATGGCGCTGTTGGCTCCATCGACGCCGTCTATCGCCTGCCGCGTAGCGGTGGTGGTGGTGGTGGTGGGGGGGTGGTGGTGGGGGGGTGGTGGTGGTGGGGGGGTGGTGGTGGGGGGGTGGTGGTGGTGGTGGGGGGTGGAGGGGGCACATTGGAGACTCCGTCTCAGATTCACGGTGAAACGCGAAAAGGCAGTTTTCACGGTGGGCTAGGGAGATGTTGACTACCTCGCCTGGTGTACAGGAGGTCTGTGTCTATCTCTCATCATCATCATCACAGTGGCTATGAGATGTTGACTACCTCGCCTGGTGTACAGGAGGTCTGTCTCTCTCTCATCATCATCATCACAGTGGCTATGACATGTTGACTACCTCGCCTGGTGTACAGGAGGTCTGTGTCTATCTCTCATCATCATCATCAGGGTGGCTATGAGATGTTGACTACCTCGCCTGGTGTACAGGAGGTCTGTGTCTCTCTCTCATCATCATCACAGTGGCTATGAGATGTTGACTACCTCGCCTGGTGTACAGGAGGTCTGTGTCTCTCTCTCATCATCATCATCATCAGGGTGGCTATGAGATGTTGACTACCTCGCCAGGTGTACAGGAGGTCTGTGTCTATCTCTCTCTCTCTCATCATCATCATCAGGGTGGCTATGAGATGTTAACTACCTCGCCTGGTGTGCAGGAGGTCGTGGGTTCAATCCTGACCCTGCTGCTGCTGCTGTATATTTGGAGTCTGTGTCTCTCTCTCTCTCTCATCATCATCACGGTGGACTATGAGATGTTGACTACCTCGGCTGGTGTACAGGAGGTCGTGGGTTCGATCCCGACCCTGACGATGCCTGCTGCTGCTGCTGTAGATTCGGAGTCTGCGTCTCTCTCTCTCATCATGATAACGGTGGCTAGGAGATGTTGACTACCTCGGCTGGTGTGCAGGAGGTCGTGGGTTCGATCCTGACCCTGACGATGCCTGCTGCTGCTGCAGATTTGGAGTCTGCGTCTCTCTCATCATCATCATCACTGTGACCTAGGAGATGTTGACTACCTTACCTGGTGTACAGGAGGTCGTGGGTTCGATCCCGACCCTGACGATGCCTGCTGCTGCTGTATATCTGGAGTCTGTGTCTCTCTCTCTCTCATCATCATCACGGTGGCTAGGAGATGTTGACTACCTCGCCTGGTGTGCAGGAGGTCGTGGGTTCAATCCCGACCCTGCTGCTGATGCTGTGTATTTGGAGTCTGCGTCTCTCTCTCATCATCATCACGGTCAGTGGTTCTTAACCTTGTTGGAGGTACCGAACCCCACCAGTTTCATATGCGCATTCACCGAACCCCTCTTTAGTGAAAAATAAAATGTGATTTTTTTCAAATTCAAGACGTAGATATGTTTTTTACTGGTACACAAAATGAGCCGTGCCACTCTCATGTCATTTTCACAGCAAAGTCTGTTCCTTTTCTTCGTTTTTATGTCCAGCATCCTCGAAAAGGATTGCTCACAAAGATATGTTGTAACAAATGGTATAAAAAAATCCAGGGCTTTCTTAGCAATAACTGGATACTTGTTCATTTGTCGACACCAAAACGTTCTGAAGAGTTACTGTTGAACCTGGCTCTGCTGAATTTCAATGATTTCGTCGAGGAATTCATCATTGACATCTGCTGTTTCAACAGCAAACGTGAACAGCTGTCTCACCCATGCTGGATATGACTCTCTTGTAGGGAAATATCCGTCGAGAGACTTTGCAAGCTCATCTAAGTGCGTGGCAATTGTTTGCTTCAGTTCCGTGGATACAGAAATATCTCCGATTCCAGACACATCTTCGATCTTACTTGCACAGTCGTCCAGAAGCGGGAAGTTTGCGAAGTTATTGTTCTCTGTTCGTCGTTTCCATAACGGTAGCTTTTTTTGAAAAGCCTTCAGGTGTTCTTCCGCTTCCATGATATTGACTCCACCACCCTGCATCTGCTGATTGAGATGATTGAGAGCTGCGAATATATCAGCCATGTACGCTAAAATGAGAATGAACTCAGGATTTTTGAAGCAATCTGCATGGCAGTGTTGGTGCTCTTGCAAAAACAGGGCTAATTCCACACGCATGGCAAAAACACGATTCAGTACCTGTCCCCGGGATAACCACCGAATATTAGAATGGAGCAGAAGTACCTCAAATTCAGAGCCCATTTCTTTACACAGCTCACTGAAGATGCGGTGCCTCAGAGCACTTTTTCGCACATAGTTCACACATTCCACCGCAGTTTTGAATACTTTTGTCATTTTTGGAGGTAAGGTTTTTGTTGCCAACGCATGCCTGTGCAGAATACAATGCGTCACAATGATGTGTGGTGCATCGGCCTTTACTAGCGCACCAAAACCAGACTTTCTTCCCAGCATGACTGGAGCTCCGTCCGTACAAACTGCAGAAACCATATCCCATGAAAGATTGTTGTCTCTGAAGAAGTCATCCACAAGCTTCTTCACATCGGCTGCCTTCGTTGTTGTTGTAAGAGGCTTACAAAATAAAAACTCTTCTTTTATCATGTCGTCTTTCACATAGCGTACAAAAACAGCAAGCTGGCTTAGATCAGAAACGTCTGTGGTTTCGTCGAGTTGAAGGTTGAATTTTGCCGGGCTTGAAATCAGATCCGCGACTACTTGAGCCAAGATGTCTTTACTCATGTCTTCTATTCTGTCACTGACGGTGTCATTTGAAAGGGGAATTTGGGATAATTTACCTTCGGCCGCTGTTCCGAGTATCAGATTCGCCATCTTTAATGCAGCTGGTTTCACAAGTGTTTCACCAATGGTGTGTGGCTTGCCCTGCTTTGCGATCAGGTAAGCAACTTCGTACGATGTTGTCAGGATCGGTTTGTTAACAGGTACAAATCCAAGAGCAGGCAGAGTGGCTCTTTCATCGAATCTGGCTCTCTTCACCCTGAATTCAGCAAGTGTTGTGTTCTTGTATTCCCCGTCTCCATGCAGCTTCAAGAAGTGTTCCTTTAGTTTTGCCGGTGCAAGACTAGAGTTGCTCAACTTGGCGTTGCAAATCATGCAGATAGGACGCTCACTCCCATCACGTTCCGTGATACATGAGAATCCATGTTGTACATATTCCTCCGACCACTTTCTTCTTTTGCCCGACATAGTTAGTATGGATAAAATATTTTAAAAAATCACACGACGTACGACAACAACAGTCACACGTTGACTACTGAGTACGCACTAAATTCCCCGCAGCGCTGATTGGCCAAGCAGTGTAGCATGATCATCTGCAGCCAGTGATGGCCAAGCGGGCCGTGTGTGTCATCACAAACTTACACAATAATTCAAGTGTGTCCGGACCTCCGTGGCGGGGGCTCTGCCGAACCCCTGAGATCGACTCACCGAACCCCTGGGGTTCGATCGAACCCAGGTTAAGAACCACTGATCACGGTGGACTATGAGATGTTGACTACCTCGCCTGGTCTACAGGAGGTCGTGGGTTCGATCCCGACCCTGACGATGCCTGCTGCTGCTGTATATTTGGAGTCTGCGTCTCTCTCATCATCATCATCATCACGGTGGCTATGAGATGTTGACTACCTCGCCCGGTGTGCAGGAGGTCGTGGGTTCAATCCCGACCCTGCTGCTGATGCTGTAGATTTGGAGTCTGGGTCTCTCTCATCATCATCATCATCACGGTGGACTAGGAGATGTTGACTACCTCGCCTGATTTTACAGGAGGTCGTGGGTTCGATCCCGACCCTGACGATGCCTGCTGCTGTATATTTGGAGTCTGTGTCTCTCTCATCATCATCATCATCACCACGGTGGACTATGAGATGTTGACTACCTCGCCTGGTGTACAGGAGGTCGTGGGTTCGATCCCGACCCTGACTATGCCTGCTCCCCCCCTTTGCCCCGGCAGTCCTCTCACAGGCTACACGGGGGACCTTTATCAACTCACTGGGTGGGGCGAGGTGAATGACGTATCCGTCGCCGACGTACAGAGCCCAGTGCTGGTAGTAGGTTCTGTCAATCTCGATGAGGTCTCCCACCTCCGGAATCCTGCATCCACGATAGCAGGAGGAGATTCCCACCTCTTTAGTCGAGGATTCACGTCTACGGCATTAACCACAATACCTGCGGTCAAAATGCAAAATAAAAAAAAACAACATACTATGATAATAACAATAATAATGATGATATATAAGTGTGTGGCATTGTCCTTGAAACTGATTGGTCCGCAGCAAGGGACGGCTTTCTTTTGAGCCTCGACCCAATTGGTGCTCGACCACCAGATTGACGCACAGCTCAAAGACAACGCCGCTAGCAAAGTAACGTGGGCTCGGGGTGACCATCTGCATCATCATCATTAGACCCCCTTTGTCAGTACCAAAGTGTTAAATAATAATAATAACAACAACAGGGTTTTCCCCTTTTTTATGGCAACAAAACTGAAACCTTTTTTTGTTACGAGGATTCACGTTTAAAACTGCATTAATCACAATGACCTGCAGCCAAAATGCAAACAACAGAAAACACGCATTGATAATAGATTGCCATTGTCCTTGAAACTGATTGGTCCACAACCCCCCCCCAAAAAAGGGGGGGAAAACCCCTCTTATTGTATTTTGGTACCGGCAAGGGAGGTCTAATGATGAAGATTCCCACCGCTGGAAAGTTGGCGACACGTGGAGGAGATGGGGGGGGGAGTGGTGGAGGTGGTGGTGGAGGTGGTGGTGGTGGTAGCCGTGGACGTGGTGGTGACGGAGGAGCACCGTGGTGCAATTCGCCCAACTAAGACACCAACTCGCCCACTCGATCATCCACTCGCCCACTCGATCATCCACTCGCCCACTCGATCATCCACTCGCCCACTCGATCATCCACTCGCCCACCAACTCAGCCGCCAACCCCGCCGGTTCGCCCATTTGAAACCCGCTCATTCAAACGCACAAGCAATCACCCACCCACTCGCTCACCCATCCACCCACTCGCTCACCCATCCACCCACACACTCACCCATCCACCCACACACTCACCCATCCACCCACACACTCACCCAACTATCCAATCGCCCACCAATTCACCCACCCACTCGCTCACCCATCCACCCACACACTCACTCAACCATCCAATCGCCCACCAATTCACCCACTCACTCGACCCATCCACCCAGTCACCCTCGCACCCACTCACCTACCCACACACTCACCTACCCACCAACTCACCCACGCATCCATTCGCCCACCAATTCACCCAGTCACTCACGCAACCATCATTGTGATGGATAGTGATGGTTGTGATTGTGGATAGTATTGGTGTGAATTGTGATGGTGATGATGGATAGTGATGGTGGTGATGGTGGCGAGTATTGGTGTGAATTGTGATGGTGGTGATGGATAGTGATGGTGGTGATGGTGGCTAGTGTTGCCATAACGACACAGATAGCACGTGAACAGCACTTCCACTCCGTTACTACAAAGATCCCCCGTGTAGCCTCTAACAGGCTGTAGGGGCAAGTGCTGTTAGCTAGCACCTCACACAGACACAGACAAAGATCCCCCGTGTAGCCTCTAACATACTGCAGGGGCAAGTGCTGTTAGCTAGCACCTCACACACAGACACAGACAAAGGTCCCCCGTGTAGCCTCTAACAGACTGCAGGGGCAAGTGCTGTTAGCTAGCACCTCACACACAGACACAGACAAAGATCCCCCGTGTAGCCTCTAACATACTGCAGGGGCAAGTGCTGTCAGCTAGCACCTCACACACAGACACAGACAAAGGTCCCCCGTGTAGCCTCTAACAAGCTGCAGGGGCAAGTGCTGTTAGCTAGCACCTCACACACAGACACAGACAAAGGTCCCCCGTGTAGCCTCTAACAGGCTGCAGGGGCAAGTGCTGTTAGCTAGCACCTCACATACAGACAAAGGTCCCCCGTGTAGCCTCTAACAGACTGTAGGGGCAAGTGCTGATAGCTAGCACCTCACACACAGACACAGACAAAGATCCCCCGTGTAGCCTCTAACAGACTGCAGGGCCAAGTGCTGTTAGCTAGCACCTCACACACAGACACAGACAAAGATCCCCCGTGTAGCCTCTAACAGACTGCAGGGGCAAGTGCTGTTAGCTAGCACCTCACACACAGACACAGACAAAGATCCCCCGTGTAGCCTCTAACAGACTGCAGGGCCAAGTGCTGTTAGTAGCGAGTAGCAGCAGCAACCTATGAAGGCTACCGGCACTGTGGCACACACAGAGGGGGTGGGTGACCAGCAGCACCACGCCCGGCCGCCTTTGTCTCTCTCCCAGTGGCGATGTTCACTGCACACCGCTACACCAGCGACTCATTTGAGGGGGTAGAGAGAGAGAGAGGGTAGAGAGAGAGAGGGGGTAGAGAGAGAGAGAGGGGGTAGAGAGAGAGAGAGGGGGTAGAGAGAGAGAGAGGGGGTAGAGAGAGAGAGGGGGTAGAGAGAGAGAGGGGGGGTAGAGAGAGAGAGGGGGTAGAGAGAGAGAGGGGGTAGAGAGAGAGGGGGTAGAGAGAGAGAGAGGGGGTAGAGAGAGAGAGAGGGGGTAGAGAGAGAGAGGGGGTAGAGAGAGAGAGGGGGTAGAGAGAGAGGGGGGTAGAGAGAGAGGGGGTAGAGAGAGAGGTGGTAGAGAGAGAGGGGGTAGATAGAGAGGGGGGTAGAGAGAGAGAGGGGGGGGTAGAGAGAGAGAGAGGGGGTAGAGAGAGGAGGAGGGGTAGAGAGAGAGAGGGTAGAGAGAGGGGGTAGAGAGAGAGGGGGTAGAGAGAGAGGGGGTAGAGAGAGAGGGGGTAGAGAGAGAGGGGGTAGAGAGAGAGGGGGTAGAGAGAGAGGGGGTAGAGAGAGAGAGGGTAGAGAGAGGGGGTAGAGAGAGAGGGGGTAGAGAGAGAGGGGGTAGAGAGAGAGAGAGAGGGGGTAGAGAGAGAGGGGGTAGAGAGAGAGGGGGTAGAGAGAGAGGGGGTAGAGAGAGAGGGGGTAGAGAGAGAGAGAGAGGGGGTAGAGAGAGAGGGGGGGGGGGTAGAGAGAGAGGGTGGGGGGTAGAGAGAGAGAGGGGGTAGAGAGAGGGAGGGGGTAGAGAGAGAGAGGGGGTAGAGAGAGGAGGGGTAGAGAGAGAGGGGGTAGAGAGAGAGGGGGTAGAGAGAGAGAGGAGGGGTAGAGAGAGAGAGAGAGGGGGTAGAGAGAGAGGGGGGTAGAGAGAGAGGGGGTAGAGAGAGAGGAGGGGTAGAGACAGAGGAGGGGTAGAGAGAGAGGGGGTAGAGAGAGAGGGGGTAGAGAGAGAGGGGGTAGAGAGACAGAGGGGGTAGAGAGAGAGAGGGGGTAGAGAGAGAGAGAGGGGGTAGAGAGAGAGAGAGGGGGTAGAGAGAGAGGGGGTAGAGAGAGAGGGGGTAGAGAGAGAGGGGGTAGAGAGAGAGGGGGTAGAGAGAGAGGGGGTAGAGAGAGAGGGGGGTAGAGAGAGAGGGGGTAGAGAGAGAGGGGGTACAGAGAGAGGGGGTAGAAAGAGAGAGGGGGTAGAGAGAGAGGGGTAGAGAGAGAGGGGGTAGAGAGAGAGAGGGGGTAGAGAGAGAGAGGGGGTAGAGAGAGAGAGGGGGTAGAGAGAGAGAGGGGGTAGAGAGAGAGAGAGGGGGTAGAGAGAGAGAGGGGGTAGAGAGAGAGGGGGTAGAGAGAGAGGGGGTAGAGAGAGAGGGGGTAGAGAGAGAGAGAGGGGGTAGAGAGAGGAGGAGGGGTAGAGAGAGAGAGGGTAGAGAGAGAGGGGGTAGAGAGAGAGGGGGTAGAGAGAGAGGGGGTAGAGAGAGAGGGGGTAGAGAGAGAGGGGGTAGAGAGAGAGGGGGTAGAGAGAGAGAGGGGGTAGAGAGAGAGAGGGTAGAGAGAGGGGGTAGAGAGAGAGGGGGTAGAGAGAGAGGGGATAGAGAGAGAGGGGGTAGAGAGAGAGGGGGTAGAGAGAGAGGGGGGTAGAGAGAGAGGGGGTAGAGAGAGAGGGGGTAGAGAGAGAGGGAGTAGAGAGAGAGAGAGGGGGTAGAGAGAGAGAGGGGGGTAGAGAGAGAGAGAGGGGGTAGAGAGAGAGAGGGGGTAGAGAGAGAGGGGGTAGAGAGAGAGAGGGGGGTAGAGAGAGAGAGAGGGGGTAGAGAGAGAGAGAGAGGGGGTAGAGAGAGAGGGGGTAGAGAGAGAGGGGTAGAGAGAGAGGGGGTAGAGAGAGAGGGGGTAGAGAGAGAGAGGGGGTAGAGAGAGAGAGGGGGTAGAGAGAGAGGGGGTAGAGAGAGAGAGGGGGTAGAGAGAGAGAGGGGGTAGAGAGAGAGGGTAGAGAGAGAGAGGGGGTAGAGAGAGAGAGGGGGTAGAGAGAGAGAGGGGGTAGAGAGAGAGAGGGGGTAGAGAGAAGGGGTAGAGAGAAGGGGTAGAGAGAGAGAGGGTAGAGAGAGAGAGAGGGTAGAGAGAGAGAGGGGGTAGAGAGAGAGAGGGGGTATAGAGAGAGAGAGGGGGTAGAGAGAGAGAGGGGGTAGAGAGAGAGAGGGGGTAGAGAGAGAGAGGGGGTAGAGAGAGAGAGGGGGTAGAGAGAGAGAGGGGGTAGAGAGAGAGAGGGGGTAGAGAGAGAGAGAGGGGGTAGAGAGAGAGAGGGGGTAGAGAGAGAGAGGGGGTAGAGAGAGAGAGGGGGTAGAGAGAGAGAGGGGGTAGAGAGAGAGAGGGGGTAGAGAGAGAGAGGGGGTAGAGAGGGGGTAGAGAGAGAGAGAGAGGGGGTAGAGAGAGAGAGGGGGTAGAGAGAGGATGGGTTTACAAAAAGCAAAGCAGTGGTAAAAAAAACGGAGAGACAGAGAGACAGAGACACGGAGACAAGGAGAGACAGAGACACAGAGACACGGAGAGACAGAGACACAGAGAGACAGAGACACGGAGACACGGAGAGACACGGAGACACGGAGAGACACGGAGACACAGAGAGACAGAGAGACAGAGACACGGAGACACGGAGAGACACGGAGAGACACGGAGAGACAGAGAGACAGAGAGACAGAGACACGGAGAGACACAGACACAGAGACACGGAGACACGGAGAGACGGAGACACGGAGAGACAGAGACACGGAGACACGGAGAGACAGAGAGACAGAGAGACAGAGACACGGAGACACGGAGAGACAGAGACACAGAGACACGGAGAGACAGAGACACGGAGAGACGGAGACACGGAGAGACAGAGACACGGAGACACGGAGAGACAGAGACACAGAGAGACACAGAGACACACAGAGAGACACAGGGAGACACAGAGACACAGAGAGACACGGAGAGACAGAGACACGGAGACACGGAGAGACAGAGAGACAGAGAGACAGAGACACGGAGACACGGAGAGACAGAGACACAGAGACACGGAGAGACAGAGACACGGAGAGACGGAGACACGGAGAGACAGAGACACAGAGACACGGAGAGACAGAGACACGGAGACACAGAGTCACACAGAGAGACACAGGGAGACACAGAGACACAGAGAGACACGGAGAGACAGAGACACGGAGACACGGAGAGACACGGAGACACGGAGAGACGGAGAGACAGAGACACAGAGACACGGAGAGACACGGAGAAACGGAGAGACACAGAGACACGGAGAGACACGGAGAGACAGAGACACGGAGAGACACAGAGAGACACAGAGAGACACGGAGAGACACGGAGACACAGAGAGACACGGAGACACAGAGAGACACAGAGAGACACAGAGAGACAGAGACACAGAGAGACACAGAGACACAGAGAGACACGGAGAGACACGGAGAGACACGGAGACACAGAGAGACAGAGACACAGAGAGACACAGAGAGATACGGAGAGACACGGAGACACAGAGAGACACAGAGAGACAGAGACACAGAGAGACAGAGACACAGAGAGACACAGACACAGAGAGACACGGAGAGACACGGAGAGACACAGAGAGACACAGAGAGACACGGAGAGACAGAGATACACGGAGAGACACGGAGAGACACGGAGAGACAGAAACACAGAGAGACAGACAGAGACACAGAGAGACACAGAGAGACAGAGACACAGAGAGACACAGAGAGACAGAGACACTCACTGGTCCATGCTTCTCAAGCTCGCCACTGCGTCTCAGCGAGTCGAGTTGGGGACTTCCTCCACCACCACCTCCTCCACCTCCTCCTCCTGCTCTTCCTCTTCCACCTGTTCCTCCTCCTCCACCTCCTCCTGCTCCTCCTCTTCGTTGCCTCTAAGCCAGTCGCTCCACACCCCCTTAGGCTGCCCTTGAACTGTCTCAACACCACCCCCACCAGCACCACCCCCCACTACCACCACCCTCACCACCCTCACCACCACCACCACTACCACCACCCCCACTACCACCACCCACAACACCACCCACACCAGCACCACCACCCACTACCACCACCCACAACACCACCCCCACTACCACCACCACTACCACCACCCCCTACTACCACCACCCTCACCACCACCACCCACTACCACCACCCCCCTACTACCACCACCCACAACACCACCCTCACCACCACCACCTACTACCACCACCCCTACTACCACCACCACCCACTACCACCACCCCCTACTACCACCACCCACAACACCACCCTCACCACCACCACCTACTACTACCACCCCTACTACCACCACCACCCACTACCACCACCCCCTACTACCACCACCCACAACACCACCCCCTGCCACCACCCCCTACCACCACCCCCTACCACCACCACCCCCACCAGCACCACCCCCTACTACCACCACCCACAACACCACCCCCTGCCACCACCACCACCACCACCCCCTACTACCACCACCCACAACACCACCCTCACCACCACCACCCCCACAACACCACCCCCACCAGTAGCACCACCCACACCACTCGTCTGAGCTGGTTTCTATTCCAAGTTCACTTCAGTTTTTATTATTATCCACCCACACCACCACCACCAGCACCACCAGCACCACCACCCACTACCACCACCTTCACCACCACCACTACCACCACCACCCACACCACCACCACCAGCACCACCACTCCCACCCTCACCACCACCACCACCACCCACACCACCAGCACCACCACCGCCACCACCCTCACCACCACTACCACCACCAACTACCACCACCCCCACCACCCTCACCACCACCACCCTGACCACCACCCTCACCACCCACGACCACCCACCACCACCACCCTCACTACCACTACCACCACCACTACCACCCACTACCACCACAACCACCACCACCCTCACCACCCACTACTACCACCACCCTCCCCCACCACCCACTACTACCACCACCCTCCCCCACCACCCTCCTCCACCACCCACTACCACCACCACCACCACCACCACCCCCACCACCACCCTCACCACCACCACCACCACCACCCTCACCACCACCACCACCCACTACCACCACCACCACCACCACCACCCCCACCACCACCCTCACCACCCTCACCACCACCACCACCACCACCCTCACCACCCTCACCACCACCACCACCCTCACCACCACCACCACCCTCACCACCACCACCACCCTCACCACCACCACCACCCTCACCACCCTCACCACCACCACCACCACCCTCACCACCACCACCACCCTCACCACCACCACCACCCTCACCACCCTCACCACCACCACTACTACCCTCACCAACTACCACCACCCTCACCCCCACCCTCACCACCCTCACCACCACCCCCACCCTCACCACCCACTACCACCCTCACCACCCTCCCAGCCACTCACCCACCCCCTCTGCCTCCTCCAGCAGGCGACGTCACCGCCTACGTCAGCCGCAGCTGCAACAACAACAACAAGAGGTGTCACGTGGCCATCGCGTGTCGATGAGCGACGTGCGAATCGCTGTGGGTCTCTATGGGTCTCTGTGTATCTCTGTGTGTCTCTGTGTGTCTCTATGTGTCTCTGTGTATCTCTGTGTGTCTCTGTGTGTCTCTATGTCTCTGTGTATCTCTGTGTGTCTCTGTGTGTCTCTATGTCTCTGTGTATCTCTATGAGTCTCTATGTGTCTCTGTGGGTCTCTGTGTGTCTCTATGTGTCTCTATGTGTCTCTGTGTATCTCTATGAGTCTCTGTGTGTCTCTGTGTCTCTGTGGGTCTCTGTGTGTCTCTATGTGTCTCTGTGTATCTCTATGAGTCTTTGTGTGTCTCTGTGTGTCTCTGTGTGTCTCTGTGTCTCTGTGGGTCTCTGTGTGTCTCTATGTGTCTCTGTGTATCTCTATGAGTCTCTGTGTGTCTCTGTGTCTCTGTGTGTCTCTATGTGTCTCTGTGTGTCTCTGTGTGTCTCTGTGTCTCTGTGGGTCTCTGTGTGTCTCTATGTGTCTCTGTGTGTCTAAATGTGTCTCTATGTGTCTCTGTGTCTCTGTGTATCTCTGTGTATCTCTATGAGTCTCTGTGTGTCTCTGTGTCTCTGTGGGTCTCTGTGTGTCTCTATGTGTCTCGGTGTGTCTATATGTGTCTCTATGTGTCTCTGTGTCTCTCTGTGTGTCTATATGTGTCTCTATGTGTCTCTGTGGGTCTCTGTGTGTCTCCATGTGTCTCTGTGTGTCTCTATGTGTCTCTGTGTATCTCTATGAGTCTCTGTGTGTCTCTGTGTGTCTCTGTGGGTCTCTGTATGTCTCTATGTGTCTCTGTGTGTCTATATGTGTCTCTATGTGTCTCTGTGTGCCTCTATGTGGCTCTGTGTGTCTCTGTGTATCTCTGTGTCTCTATGTGTCTCTATGTGTCTCTGTGTCTCTGTGTGTCTCTATGAGTCTCTGTGTGTCTCTATGTGTCTCTTTGTGTCTCTATGTGTCTCTGTGTATCTCTATGTGTCTCTGTGTGTCTCTGTGGATCGCTATGTCTCTGTGTATCTCTATGTATCTCTATGTGTCTCTATGTGTCTCTGTGTGTCCCTGTGGGTCTCTGTGTATTTCTGTGTGTCTCTGTGGGTCTCTGTGTGTCTCTGTGTGTGTCTATGTCTCTGTGTGTCTCTATGAGTCTCTGTGTGTCTCTATGTCTCTGTGTATCTCTGTGTGTCTATATGTGTCTCTATGAGTCTCTGTGTGTCTCTATGGGTCTCTGTGTGTCTCTGTGTGTCTCTGTGTGTCTCTGTGTGTTTCTATGTGTCTCTGTGTGTCTCTATGTGTCTCTGTATATCTCTATGAGTCTCTGTGTGTCTCTGTGTGTCTCTGTGGGTCTCTGCATGTCTCTATGTGTCTCTGTGTGTCTATATGTGTCTCTATGTGTCTCTGTGTGTCTCTATGTGGCTCTGTGTGTCTCTGTGTATCTCTGTGTCTCTATGTGTCTCTATGTGTCTCTGTGTCTCTGTGTGTCTCTATGAGTCTCTGTGTGTCTCTATGTGTCTCTTTGTGTCTCTATGTGTCTCTGTGTATCTCTATGTGTCTCTGTGTGTCTCTGTGGATCGCTATGTCTCTGTGTATCTCTATGTATCTCTATGTGTCTCTATGTGTCTCTGTGTGTCCCTGTGGGTCTCTGTGTATTTCTGTGTGTCTCTGTGGGTCTCTGTGTGTCTCTGTGTGTGTCTATGTCTCTGTGTGTCTCTATGAGTCTCTGTGTGTCTCTATGTCTCTGTGTATCTCTGTGTGTCTATATGTGTCTCTATGAGTCTCTGTGTGTCTCTATGGGTCTCTGTGTGTCTCTGTGTGTCTCTGTGTGTCTCTGTGTGTTTCTATGTGTCTCTGTGTGTCTGTATGTGTCTCTGTGTATCTCTATGAGTCTCTGTGTGTCTCTGTGTGTCTCTGTGGGTCTCTGTATGTCTCTATGTGTCTCTGTGTGTCTATATGTGTCTCTATGTGTCTCTGTGTGTCTCTATGTGGCTCTGTGTGTCTCTGTGTATCTCTGTGTCTCTATGTGTCTCTATGTGTCTCTGTGTCTCTGTGTGTCTCTATGAGTCTCTGTGTGTCTCTATGTGTCTCTTTGTGTCTCTATGTGTCTCTGTGTATCTCTATGTGTCTCTGTGTGTCTCTGTGGATCGCTATGTCTCTGTGTATCTCTATGTATCTCTATGTGTCTCTATGTGTCTCTGTGTGTCCCTGTGGGTCTCTGTGTATTTCTGTGTGTCTCTGTGGGTCTCTGTGTGTCTCTGTGTGTGTCTATGTCTCTGTGTGTCTCTATGAGTCTCTGTGTGTCTCTATGTCTCTGTGTATCTCTGTGTGTCTATATGTGTCTCTATGAGTCTCTGTGTGTCTCTATGGGTCTCTGTGTGTCTCTGTGTGTCTCTGTGTGTCTCTGTGTGTTTCTATGTGTCTCTGTGTGTCTCTATGTGTCTCTATGTGTCTATATGTGTCTCTGTGTCTCTGTGTGTCTCTAGGTGTCTCTAGGTGTCTATATGTGTCTGTGTGTCTCTGTGTATCTCTATGTGTCTCTGTGTGTCTCTGTGTCTCTGTGTGTCTCTATGTGTCTCTGTGTATCTCTATGTGTCTCTGTGTGTGTCTGTGTGTCTCTGTGTATCTCTATGTGTCTCTGTGTGTCTCTATCTCTATGTGTCTCTGTGTCTATGTGTGTCTCTAGGTGTCTATATGTGTCTCTGTGTGTCTCTGTGTGTCTCTATGGGCTCTGTGTGTCTCTATGTGTTTCTGTGTGTCTCTGTGTGTCTCTATGCGTCTCTGTGTGTCTCTATGTGTTTCTGTCTGTCTCTGTGTGTCTCTATGGGTCTCTGTGTGTCTCTATGTGTCGCTGTGTGTCTCTGTGGGTCTCTATGTGTCTCTGTGGGTCTCTATGTGTCTCTGTGTGTGTCTATGTGTCTCTGTGTGTCTCTATGTGTCTCTGTGTCTATATGTGTCTCTGTGTGTCTCTCTGTGTCTCTATGTGTCTCTAGGTGTCTATATGGGCTCTGTGTGTCTCTATGTGTTTCTCTGTGTCTCTGTGTGTCTCTATGCGTCTCTGTGTGTCTCTATGTGTTTCTGTCTGTCTCTGTGTGTCTCTATGGGTCTCTGTGTGTCTCTATGTGTCGCTGTGTGTCTCTGTGGGTCTCTATGTGTCTCTGTGGGTCTCTATGTGTCTCTGTGTGTGTCTATGTGTCTCTGTGTATCTCTATGAGTCTCTCTGTGTCGCTGTGTGTCTCTGTGTGTCTCTATGTGTCTCTGTGTGTCTCTGTGTGTGTCTATGTGTCTCTATGTGTCTCCGTGTGTCTCTATGTGTGTCTCTAGGTGTCTCCAGGTGTCTCTGTGTGTCTCTATGTGTCTCTATGTGTCTCTGTGTGTCTCTGTGTGTCC